TCAAGGCATCTTATGCTCCACAGCCGTATCCCCCCTTCCAGAAAGAATTTACTAATAATGCAACATAAATTGGATGAAGAAATGGCACAATCATTTACTAAACACTTTTAAATCTTTTAAGAATTGTTTTAAAAATGCCTTTGTAAAGCTTACAATACAGAGAACATTTCATGAAATAAAGTAAAACATAATATACATAGAACATAAAACAGTAAGAACTCCTACATCCACCTAAAGGACAAAGCACTGGAGTAGTAGAGCAAAAAAATTCCAACAGATTTAAAATAATAAAAGCTGTAACTCAATACCAAAAGTAACTAGACCCTCTACTTCCCATAAACTAAATATACAAAGCTTCATAAGGACAAGCAAACTTCTTGTATCTGCACTCAGAACAGCTACAAACTCTTTGCCTTATTCTTATCAGTTGTCAGTTTGTCAGGATTAATAACAAAAATGCCATTCTAAATTTACTCTCCCCTATTGATGCAGCACAAGAAGTTGGAGATTTTTCTCCTACAGTTCTAATCTAATCACTGCATGAAGGCAGAAAGAGATTCAAAGAAAGGTTTTTCCACAGTGATAAAACTCTCACCAGTATTAAATGTCAAGTACTTTCCCATAGGAAATTTCCTAAATATCAAGTGTCTTTCCTACAGCAAGGAGGGTAACAGGTACTGAGTATTTAAGAGGCACTGGCAGGATTAATATTACTCTCAGAATTAATATCCATTATGCTGGTTTCAGATAGCTTTGAAACGTGCAGGATTCCTGCAATGGCAATTCATGTAGGTTAGTTTCTTAAAAATGGTCTTCACAGCTTTCTATCTGAAAAATAGGTTAAAAAAACCTCTAAAAATGCAGTTTCCAAATTTTAGTTTATGGAAAATGGAAAGCCATTTGTAACTACATGGAAGATCCACTTACCTTAACAATCACCAAAACTGGGTAGGGAAAACAAACAAAAACAACAAGATAAACCCAGATACAACTTGCCCACGGTTTGTAAACTTCACTTCAATTTCATTTTAACATGAGCAAATGCATTTTTCCAAGTTCAGAAACAAGGATCATCAACTATGCCATATTCTAAAAGGCAGTTGCTGCATAATAATTTAAAAATATAGATAGCCATCATAGCCAATTTGATGTTAAATCTCTTTACAATGCCAGGGAAATGCACAAAAAGGCTCGCCTACTTTTATATGCATGTTTTAATCAGACTACTGCATCCAGTTCTAGTGACCACATTTTGGGGGGAAAGGAGAAAGAGAAAGCATGGAGCTATTGCTAAGAAATTCTGTCCACACTTACACAAATGGTCGTTTAGGATGCATATTGCCTGTGTCTCTCTTGAACATGGGGGAAAAGAATTAAAACAACCAAATCTGTAAAAAATTATTTTTCCCTATTAACTCAGCTGTCAAACTCACAGTTATCTGCTAAGACTTGTGAGTTTAAAGAGCTTTCTGTCCAACCAAAAATAAAGATTTGCCTCTGCCTAGTCACACAAGGCTTGATGAATCTTTTTTTTCCTGTCTATAGGAAACACACAAAATAGATTTTGTGGCTTAGTATTCAGTTGGGTTCAAGAATCTCTCCTCAAACACTTCATAAATACTACAGAAACGCTGCTATCACCTAAATAAAGACCGAGAAACCACAAACATCTTGTTCATACTGGGTTGAGGCATTACATTCACAGAAATAACTTAAAAGAACTGTAACATTTTGTCTGGTCACTTCTGGAAAATTTTAACTACTTGCACAAAACCCAGTAGGTCGTGGTCAGTGATTCAGAGCTTGGTAATGGCAGCACCTTTACACTGAAAGAGAAGGAATGGGTATTTTGAGGTGCCAGTTTTGTCCTTCACTTGAAGCCAAGACAGAAACACTGACAGCCTGAACTGTCTCTGCTGAAATCAGACAACCTGATAGCAAGATGTTATGTAAAAAGTTAATTCTTTTTCAGATGCTAACATACACCTTTTACAAGAAATACACCTTCCTGAAGTACAGCAGCCTGTACTGCTGTCCATCACACAAGGAAAAATCAAACCAGAAACACTCACTCTGGAGCATATGCTCAGCTCATCTTGAAAAATACTACATGGAAGTGCATACAAAACACTTTTCTATGGCAACCACAGATTCACTGCCACACCTGGTCTAAATACCGAGATTAGTATGCACTGCCACAGTCCAGGCACCATCCAGGGGAAAGTATTTGGATTTCAATATCCAGACTCCAGTGAAAATCAAATGTACCTGGCTGCTATGCAAACACACATATACTTCCGCTGCCTGTAAACACTGCCATGAGAATAACGTGTGAGGAACAGTATGTCAATACACCTCTAACTTGCTTTTCTCTTAAATGCTTCCCTTAGGTCATGACAACAATGAATTCGTGAATCTCATTTATCACTTACCACTGATAAAATTTTAAATTAATGCACCCAAATCAGAATAAACTGGTCTTTTCTAGTCCAGTTCTACAGTTTTTCAACAGGACTAGGTACAGGTGCACGCGAATGCTAATGCACTTCACAGAAAGCAAACCCTAGACACAACTCATCTCAGGATGATGGAGACAACAGACCCAAGCAGCAAATCAGAAAATAACATTAGGTATTAAATGCACAAAAACGCATCAGCCACAGATGCTACCGGGGGTGTTAGGCTGGAATGCAACAACTGCACACCCTGGGCCCACCAGAGGAGGTGCCTTGACTGGGGAATGCCCAGCACACTCAGGCCCAGGGGCACACAGCAGAGAGGGACGCCATCAAGAGCAGCGGCCCGCCGCCCCGCACTCACCCCGCAGCCGCCAGTGGTTCCTGTGCGGGGCTGTGGGGCGAAGCGCCACGGCGACCGACCCGCGCCTCCTCGCCCAGGAGCTCGACAGCGGTGACGGCCCCGCCGATGGTGAACCAGTCCCGGCTCTGCTCCTCGCTGAGTTTCCGCAGCATGGCGGCGGATGGCGGCGGATGGCGGCGGATGGCGGCGGCCGCACGCGATCCCCCGCTTCCCGGCACGTGTGCACTTTCCCGCCCCGCCGCCCGGCCCGGCCCGCCCCCGGCTGGGATCGGCCCTTCCTTCCCAGGCAATTCACCTGGCGCTGCGGGCTGAATTCTTTAAACCGACCCCCCAAATTTATTAAAGCCTTCCTTAGAAAGGCAGGACATACACACGCAGAGCAGAAGTGTACGGGAAGGTCGAACACTAAGGCCTGTCATGCCTACTGGATAAATTTCGAAAGAAGAATAGGAACTAAGATAAACACGTCACTTAAACTTCCCTTTCACCCTGTCATCTTCTCTTCTGAAATAACGGCATACATCTGTGTGTAATTTATTAAATCAGATAAATAATGAAAACCAATACAAACACAGGATAGAACCTTACTTTCTCCAATAGGATTTATCATCTCCACACTGAGTACCTGATACAGTGCAGGCATTTAGCTGCATTAGACCTCTTACTGTCAAATAGGTGAATACAAATCTGGGGTATATGTTGAGAGATAAGGATACCACAACCTCTGGTTGCTTAATGTATCAGCCTCAAAATCCTAAATTAAAGAAAGAAGGAGATTTTCCTCACTAAAATCTCAAGATTAAATGAAGGAGGTGACATACATGCAGTATTTCGACAAAAGCTACGCTCCTATATTAAATGCAAAAAACACCCATGTAACACCCATGAAGTCTGGTTTGCCCTGTATGACAAAGCTCGTATGTAGCAAATCTATACATCTGCAGATTAGGTAAATCACTCACTGGGAAAGTAAATGCAGTCTGTGATCCCACTAAAGCATTTTAACACACACAGTAAAGATCTGAGCTCTGCTTTCCTTTCACAGCCACGGGAGGCCTGGGCGGTCATTCCCCCCTCACCTCTCAGAACAATGCCCGAGCGCAGCTCTGGAATTCCAGTCACCGTGTCCTTCCCGCACCTGGAGGAAACAGCCTGAAAAGCACGTAGGTGCTTCAGACCTCACAAATACGGCCCAGCGGGTGCCTCCCACTCCTCCAGGACAAGCTGTTCCCTAAGGGACACGCTACACAAACTGTGACAGCCCCTTCCTGGCTTTGTCCTGGCACGGGACACCTGATGTGCGTGTTCTTGGCAAGCAGGACTGAGGTGAGATCTGTGTTAGAAGAGCACTGCCAGCAGATCGAGGGAGGTGATCCTGCCCCTCTGCTCAGCCTAGGGGAGGTGAATGTGGAGTTTTGTGTCCAGTTCTGTGTTCCTCCGTATGAGAGGGATGTGGAGCTCCTGGAGCAGGTCCAGTGGGAGACAACAGAGAATGATGGGGGGACTCGAGAATCTCTCTTATGAGAAAAGGCTGAAGGAATTGGGCCTGTCCAGCCTCGAGAAGAGATGATTGAGAGGGAACCTCGTCAGTGTGTATAAATATCTGAAGGGAGGGTGCCAAGAAGATGGAGCCAGGCTCTTCTCGGTGATGCCGAGCGATAGGACAAGAAGCAACGGGCAGGAAGTGATGCACAGGAAGTTCCACCCGAACATCAGCGAAGAACTTTACTGTGCGGTGATCATGCACTGGAAATAGATTGCCCGGAGAAGGTGCGGAGTTTCCCTCACTGGAGATATTAAAGAACGGTCTGGACACAATCCTGCGCCACGTGCTCTGGGATGACCCTGCTTGAGCGGGGAGGTTATTCCAGGTGTCTCACTGCGGTCCCTTTCCCGCCTGACCCATTCCGTGATGCCGAGGGAAGCGGGGCTGGCACCGCCGCGGTGCGAGGCCACTCTGGTCCTCCGCGGCCGTAGGGGGCGCTGCTGTCCCCGCCCGCCGCGCGTCCCTTCCCGGCGCGCCCCGCGGTGGCACTGGACCCGTCCCCGTTCCCGAGTGTGACCTTCGCCGCTCCCTTGGCACGGTGGGTCCGAGCCGGGCGAGGCCCGGCTGGGTCCTGGCGGGCTCCAGTCGGGGGTGCCTCGGTGGGGGCAGCGCTGGTTCAGCCTGGGAAGGGAAGAAGGGAGAAGGGGAGTGCGGCCCGCGGCGCTGGAATTTGCCGTTACCCTCCCACCGCCGTCGGGTCGGGCCTGGGGCGGGCCGCAGGTGCCCCGGGCAGCGGCGGGTTGTGGCGGGGAGGTCAAGCAGACAGCAAATACAGCGTTGTTCCGGGTAGATTTCAGAAAAAAAAAAATGCTCAGGACGATATCGCGTCCGCGCAGGCCCTGGGGAAGGGTCTCTGGCGCGCTTCAGAGCGGTGTTAAGTGGAAACAGCACTGCTTATTCCCTGTTTTGTAGCGGTTGGGAAATCTTTCCCTCCTGTTCTGTTCAGTCTCCTTGTCTGTTAGTATGTCATGATATTCTGTGACTGTATTCCACTGTTCATCTCAAACTACAAACACTGGAAATTTAGGTGAGCAGTGTCCTTAATGCAGTGTGTTGTAAATAGTGTTGCTGAAAGCACAAAGGTGTTACAGAAACTTTGGCTACAAAAATAAATTATTGAATTGACTGTACATAAACAGATGCAAATGTGGGTTTTTCTTTAAGTATATACGAATTGCCTCAAAGTTGCTTTCATTCTTTAAAAAACACCTATATTTTTCCAATTATTTTGACACTGGCTGCCCTTGTACCCTCTCCTTTTAGAGGGTTGCCAAAAGATGCTTTGCATTTAGTAATGGCAGATAAGTGAGCATTACCTCAGAGAAGTTAAATTCTGCTTTTCTTTCCTGGGTCTCTGGTTTACCATATGCTGTCTACATGTGTGTATAGCTGACTTTATTGGGTTGTGATAAGCATGAATAGTGACTATTGGGTGAACTGCTGTGTGTAAGTCAGTAGAACATGGGACATCTCAGTGCAGTGTGGTGCAAAAGTGAACTAACATTTATGTGAGTTAGGATAAGCTTTATTTTAAAACCTCCTACAATTTTCTCTTTTGTCTTAAAAAGCTGCAAGGAAAGGAAAAAAACCACTAACACTGACAGGCTTCTTGCTCTTGGGGCATATTTTGAAAGTCAAATAGTCATGATAAAGCATGAATTCATTAGCTTAACATCATTTATGTTGCTATTTTGAGTAGAAATTACCATGCTGGAATAGACAGCTGCGAGAGAGAGAAACTAAATTGGTAGGGCAAGGAAGGAGCCTCTCTGGCTTGTCTGGAATGAGATTTCCTCCTGAGGGAATCTGGAAGCATTAGGAAAAAGCTGTCACTGATAGGCAGAGAGAAGTCTAGCCATTGCTGCTCTGTAAATGTTCTGTTGACTCATCTTTGAACCCTTTCATCAACTGTAATTTTAATTATTTTTTTTGTGTTAGCCCATGAATTGTAACCTTAACTCTGAATTTTTATTTCTTTGCTTTGGAATAAGTTCTTTTGTATGGTTGGGGATTTTGTTTTTTAACTTGTAAACTGCTGCTGATATGCATCAGGAGTATGTGTGTGTGTCTACATAAAAATAGAGTATTTGTGTGTGTGTGTCTGTATGTATGTATGTATGTTAAAAATCTAGCAAGTAAGAATACAGCTGCAAAAGTTAAAATGACAACATTTCTTAAAATTTCAGATGGTGCAGAGCATGATTCCAAAGGCATTGAGACCCATGAAATTCTACTTCTCTACTGTGTATCAAGAAATATGGGTTGGTGTAGCATTAACAGCTTATGCCTACTACAAGATTTCATATGGGGGTAAGTCACACATTACAGTTTTTTTAATAGAAGAGAATACCCACAAGAGGAATCAGTCATTGAAGATAGCCAGCAAATTAGAAATTAATATTCTTCCTTGGGGCCAGGTCTTTGCTATACAAATTTAGATGTTTTAAATGCTGATTGTAGAAGGTTCCACTAACAAAAATACTGAAATGTCAATGTAACTGTGCTTACATTATGAAGATTAGGTAATGTAGGAATTGATTTTTAAAGTACAGATCTAATTTACTCCCTCAAGATTTTGAAAAGAAATAGTTTTTAAAAGGTTTTCTCACATGAACTTGTGAAAGTGTATTTTGGGCTGATGGCACCTCAAAATGAGAGCTACATCACTGAACATGAGAATGTGTGTTACTTGGTGACACTGGATGACTTTCTCAGAGAAAGAATATGTAATGTAAAAATAATAAATTTGAATGGGCCAGGTAAGCAGAAGGGTACAAGAAATTATGGTGTCTTAAAAGGTTCTGTTTGTCAATTTAGGCTATGCTGAAGAAAATCCCAAGTCAGACACTTTACTGGCTGTAGTGAACAATGAAGTGTTGTACGTTGTACACAAAGTTCACGAAGAAAGGAACCCCTTGCTGTGGGAACAGCTGAGAGATATTACCTCAGTTTTTATCTAGCTTTGTCCAAATAATGTGTAGCATTCCAAACTGATACACTGCACTTAGAAGTTTAAGTAAATATCAGCAGTTGATCTTAATGAGTACTTAATGACTATTAAGTAAATATGAGTAGTTGAGGTAGACAGGAAGAAAAAAAAAAGTTTAACTTTTGCTTTAACCTTTTATTTCAAGGAGAGTTCAAAATGGACAGACTGTTTCAAACTTGTCTTCATGCTACATTAATTTGTGACTTAGATTACCTGGTGTAGAGTTTCGAGGGCCAAAACACCTGGATAAATGGCAACTGTATGCTAAGCTTTATTTGAAAGGGAAAATAGTTTTTAATAGCTGTAGGCCTTTCTGCATTTTGGAGAAAAATTTTGCAAATAATACACAGAATTATAGAAGAGTATGTTGCAGGATAATTCAGATTGGAAGGGACCTCTTGAGCTCACCTGGTCCAAACCTGTGCTTGATGCTTTAGATCACAGTTAGCTCAGGTTGCTTATAACCTTATTCATAATTTGAGTATTTCCAAGGATGGAGATTGTACAATCTCTTATAACTGTCTTTCTTGCAAAGAATTTTTTTTTTTATCACTGTGACCCAGTATTTTAGGAGAACAATTACAATGGGAATGTAAAATACAAATGAAAATTTTAAAGCAAACAGTTTCGTTTACATCGATATCTTGTGTGTATATATATATATCCATATATTATGTAAAATAGTAATATTCCATAAAGATTTCTTTAGAATTATAGTAGCAATCTTTATGACTGTAATTTCTAAATGCATGGAGTCTTGGTTAATTAAAACCAAACAACTTTTGAAAATCAGTGTAAAGTTTACAGAAACGTACCATGGGAAGTACATGTTGTACACTTGCAATTTTTGTTTAAGCTAATAATAAGATAATTAAAATTTATCTGTAAAAAGTAAATTGGAAATATATTTTTAACTGTCATTGTTCAGCTTATTTTTTTTTTCCCCAGGCAAAAAATCATCGGGAAATAGTAAGTATTCAATATTTAATACCTTGATGTAATTTTTAAATAAGTGCAGTAAAAATCAGTTCAGAATATTGTACATTAGATAAATTTGGGGCTTAAGTTACAGATTTAGCTAATGTTTAAAGACTGCTTTAAAATAAGTAATTTTGATTGTATTGATAATTTCATAACCTAGAAACATCTGTGGATCTGCACGTAAATAATCTTTTGTGTAGGTTTTAGGAGAAAAATAGAAACTCTGTAACTTGACTGTGTGGGCGAGGAATTTTTTCAAATAATAGTACCAGCCATTTAATGGGATTATTTAAACCAGCATGATTTCAAGAGTACCTGCTATTTTAGCTGTCAAGAAATTAGAAAGTATAAACTTTGTATTTTGAATTTGTATGTGTATAAAGTAGTGTTTAGATATTTATGGACAGTTTCTTCTGACATCACACTGGAAATTATATTTTTATGGCCTGCTGTATCTCTGCTCTTCACTTTCTGGACCATGAGAGAGAAACGATTCACTCCCAGTTGAATTTGTACATGCAAACATTATTTATATTTTGCAATGTGCAATTAGAGAAAATACTGCCTAGTAGACTTAGAATAATAGAATAAACTTCAGTTCTGGAAGAACTGTAACAAAACCAAGGAAGGATAGGTGTTTGACTGTAATAGGGCTTTAAAACTTGCAAAAGAGAATTTTTAATAATTGCTGTGTTTACTTATGTACATGTTCTGAGGGTATTGTTTCATTTAAATAGCCAATTCTCGTGCTCAGATATAAGTACAGATGTCAGTTCTAGGACCTGCACTACATTCCTGAATTGATTTCCTTTACTGTTTGAACAGCCTAAATCATGTCTTTGTTTCAGAGTCCTCTGGTTCTGGCCATCATTAAAGATCTCTTCTTGGAATATGAATTTGGGGTTCATCATCTCTACTGCAAATGAAGCAAGTTACAACCATAGGGAAATGAATGCTAGAACCCCACCTGGTCCATCTGCTGTAATTGGAAAAAGAATAAATCCATTGAGCAAGAAGTAATTAAAGATGTTGGACAATATATGCTGGAGTGCAGTGCTAATCTAATTTTTAGAATAAGCTTCTACAGTTCTAAGTACCATGTTAAACTTTTTCTACAGTACTTTAAAAGGGACCAAATCTTTATAACTAAACTTATTAATAGAATTAGATTCCTTCCCTCCTCCCCGTAATAATAACTTTTTTGGCTATTTACTTTAAAAATGTCATTTTTAAAGTACGGGATGCCAAGTATGAGGTCTTAATCCCCAGCTTTTTGTTATCTTGTGGTGCAGTAATCAAGGGTACCAAAAATTATATTTTAAACCTTACATTTTTAAAGAGTTCTTAGTTCTGCAAGGTTTATAAAAGCAGAAGTTACAGTTATGAAAACACCATGCAAAACATTTACAGATTTTTTTAAAAGTGCATAATTCACAACTATTTTTTGTTCTTCATATTCAGTAGAGCTAAGGAATTATTCTGAAAGGCTTTTCCTTTAGTCCCAAGGTTTGCAAAGGAGTAGGTAATAACATGCCTATATTGTATAGGAAAATTGTTATGACATGGGCTTTCATTTGCCATTGGAGCTTACGAAAACCTCAGAATTTAAAGGGAATAGTGACATCAGGCACTGGCAGCAGTTGGTATGAGCACAAACATTTAACCGGCTTCAAAGAGTTTTCCTTTTTCCTGAAAGTGTAGAAGTAATATTTGTATTATTAGGATGGGTCATTAGTGGTTTTTGTAGATAGCTATTAGAACTCCATAGCAAGTGTATTTTGGAGACTGTAGATCTACTATCTTATGAAAATCAGTGTCCAGAACTGCACATATTGAATTCTGTACTAAGGATACATATGTGTAAAACCAAAACTAGACTTCATGTCATGTTTTGTTTAAATTTAGCCTAATCTGCCTCTGAGAAGATTAAGAGGCTTAAGTCATTTTAATGACTTAATGCTTACGTACATCTTTTTAACTACTTCGCTGAAACATCTTAAATCTTTCAGCTTGATTAAAGTTTTGCTTTTCAATCTCCTGACTGCAGTATATGGCCATAGCTTAAATGTTTTGTATTTGAGCACTCAGGAACTTGATAACCTCACCTGCTGATGGTAAATGTTTCAAACACTGTTGTCTTTAATTTCTTCTAAATTTATACTTATGCTTAATACTTGTACCTATTGAGTAGAGTAAAATCACCAGTCTTATTTCTCTGAGAGCTTTTCTTAAAGAAGGCAGGTTTAGTATCACTGAATTTGAAAAGGTGACATCTGTTCTTCGTGTATTTTTGATATATATTCCACCTTCCACAGTTTTCTTTATTTCACCTTTGCTTGATCTGTTTTTCCTGATTTCTTTAGTAATTTCTATATGGGTTTTTCTGTTTCCTCACCACAGAAAAATGAATGAGAAATTGGAAGAACTCACTACTAGATTTTTTACATAAAATAAAAATCATCCAAAAGAAGGGAATGGAGAATAAAAGCTAGAAGAAAATGGAACTTAAGTGAACAGATATTAGGCTAGTGGTAATTACAGGGTGGGTGAGTTGTGGTATACTTAATAAGCAGTTCAGATTGAAAATTTATGCCAAGTAAGGAGCAATAAGAGCAATAAGAGCATTTGTAATGCAAATTTATGATCACTAAGTTATAGTTCCTAAGATACCACACATACTTCAAATGACCTGCTTTAGCAATTTTCAATTACAGAGCTCAGGCAAACAGACCAGGAAAAAAACATTAATCACTGCAGGATTTGTTTCACCTTAGCCAGATCATTGGCACTGAGGTATGTCAACATGCTCTTCTGATCTCCTGGTTTGGAAGGCAAGAAGAGCTTCTGCTGACCTGCCCTTGGAGCACACTTAACTGCACTTCTAGGTAAAGTTAACCTGCTTCAAGTCTTAACTTCTTTCTCTCTGACTTGCTAAATTTTCTAGTAGGGAAAGAAAGTACATGTGGGCAGCAGTGTCTGGGTTATAAAAATAGTAATTTCTACTGAAACAGTGCCATCTGCAACTGGTTCTTCCACTGGTGCTTCTCTGTCAGGAATTTCTATGAAGACTACAGAACATTCCCTCCTTTGGTATCCTTAACACAAATACCTGTAAAAGATAGGGAAGACTGGTGTTTAGTTTATATAGAAGATTTGTTTTGGTTTTTTACTTGAGTAGTGTACAGAAGGAGGAAATTCAGTCAGTGGCTTGACTCGAAAGCAGAAATTGACACACCCATAACATGTAATACCTGTAGGTATTATCTCTATACTTCCTGCTTCTCTATGATGAAGTAATGTAAAACACAATAGAGGAGAGCAAACTAAGTCATTGTAAGAGCCATTTCATATTTACAATGAGGTGTGGAAAAAGTAATCAATTTTCATTGCAGCACTAGCACTTGGAGCATAGCCCTAGGTAGACAAACATTTCAAGGAATACCCACCCTTGAAGTGAATACTCTTATTTTAGAATATGTGCCTTTCTTCTTTTGTAGTAATTTAGCTAAGGTAAATTACTGAAGATTTCTAAAGCTAACTTAAAAATATTTTCTTGTTCCGGGTAAGTTTGTAAACAGACAATATTCAGCTCCTGAACAAACCCATTTGCTATGCAAATGACAATATAAGATTAGGATGTAATATCATGATTCACAACTAAACACTGGTGAGGGATATACTTACTGCACATTGATGGATCATGTTGCTTTCCTTTTGCGACTGCCTCTTTATATTGCTGACATTTCTAAAGCAGGATTACATTTAAACCTTATGTAGTAAAATAGTTAAGCAACTGCATTCTTAATTTGTTGCTTGTGATGAGACATCAGAAGTGACAAAACCTGTTTACTTACTACCTTTACCATGTTAGTGGAACAACAAACATCTTGAGGGGTTGAAGAACCTCATCCAATTACTGCAGCATCCTCTTGACTAAGTTTTGTTGAGGCACTTTTTTTTAATACAGAACATGAAAGCTCAGCAATAGGAAACTGTATTAATAATGACAATGCTAATGCAAGATGTCTTTTTACAGTAGAAGTACTTCTGTATTTGCCCCTCCATGCTGAGTCTTACGACTGGGATTTTTCATTTCGGAGCTTGGGGATTTCTAGAATACTTCAAGTGCTGTCCTACAATTACGAATCTCAGAGTTTCTCCTGGATGCTAATAAACTATGATAGAATACTCATGGGGAGCAGCAAAATACAGTCAGAGCCAAGGAAACATTAGTCACAAGGCCCAACCTACTTAACCTCCTTAATGGCTAACTTGGAAAAAACCCAAATATGTATTCATGTTAATTGGGAGGATGAGTAAAGCTGCAGGAAATGATCCAAAGTAACTAAAACAGCTGAACAAGTCTCCTGTTTATCTGAATCATGATAGCAATCCAGTGTTTGTAGTACAAATACCGATACAGAGCTGGTATGTACATGTGTTTTATGCTTTCAGTCCCCAAGGAAGGAACAGTATCAGGTGCTTGTTAGACACAGGTGTGACATCACCACCAGCTGGCTAAACTGAAACAGAGGAAATCAATGTGTGAAACTTCTATTGTTTCATTCACAGAAATCTGTGAAGTTACCAGGAAGGAAAGAATAGTGAGATGGAGATTCCCCGAGGCATTAAATATGTTAGTTAACAATTCATTAAATGGAGGAACAAGAAGTGACACGATAGTGCTTGAACAGCAAACTCTTCAAACTATAATTCCATGACCTTTAGCAACTGATGTTTAGCAGCTAATATTTTTAAGAATATAAAGCCACATGGCTGATTTAGTAATTTATTAAAAACTCATAAATAAGACAGTTTTGTGTCATCTACTCCACTGCCTCAGGCAAAGTACTTGGAAACAGTTACTCTCTCCCAACTCAGAATGAACTGACCACCACAAGAATGGATGATTTAGACATTTTAATTAAATTCTTTTTTTGATTGTGGTTTAGCAGTATGAGTACTCTGGCAGCTACACAGCTAGTGGAGTTTGCTCCCTTACACTGCAGCGCCTTGCTCCTCATAGTTGTGCTGATACAGCTATTTGTGAATCAGATCAGGTGATTTTGTATAATTTTATGGGTTTTTTCCCTGTCTAAAATAACAAAACAAGCATTTGTTTGAGTTCTTTTCCATTTTAATTGGACCCATCTGATTCCATTTACAGCAAAGCTGCTTTTTAACTAGATTATAGCACAACAGGACAGGGGGGCTGCAGAAAAAGGCAGAAGAATCAGAATTTCTAGTCTCCCATTTACTCAGCTAAGTTCCCTAAGTCACTGTGTCCCTCATAACAAGGCAATGCAAGTTCCCTCCTCATCCGCAGCTACGCACACAATCAAAGCACTGTCTCTCCTGGAAGAACTGTCATCGGTGTCAACAGTCAGAGCAATAAAAAGAATGCAGAACTCCACCCTGTATAGAAATCAGGAATGACAGCTTGTGCTTCAGCAAAGGCAGAGCCATGCTTCCTTCCTCTGGGATAGTATATCGCTTTCTCAAGTTTATACTATCACTTAATTAATTGGGACAAATGAACAAACAAATAGGGGACAGGGAGAACCACTGGATGATGGTAAATTAATGCTCAGCTCTAGCAGGAAGAATACTTTTACTTAGAAAGGATAAAATTGGTAGTGGTTCATCAAATTATATTACTGGTTGTCATCAAATGAAAATATGCTTAATTATTATGACCTTCTAAAGGATCATAAAGGAATGGTTTTTAATTGATATGACCTTTAACTTTTATATCCATATCATGACAGTACAGTGATCTACTGGGAGAGACAATAGAGATTTCTTCATAGCTAATGAAGTGTGTTTGGTAGGAAATGATAATGGGGATTATGTGGGTGGTAGAACTAAGAGCTATATACTGAATGAATCCCATCTGTGGTGACTGCTGCCTACACAGATTTTTTCTGCAGTATTAGTTGTAGTTTTCATTTCTTGTTTTAACCTGTTGTGTTTAGCATGCTTTTGATAATATTAAGAATTGCTGCAATTAAGGGGAAATTCCTTAGGTATGAAGTAGAC